TCTTTTTTTATGGATGCTGAAAAGGTGGCTGGCAAAACGAGCAGGATTGTGGGTGGATCACCGCTGATACTGGCAGGATGGTACCCCCAACAGTGTGGTGTACACATACACTTGGCCTGACTTTCCGCCGCTCCCATGGACAGGGCAGATGTGCGGTGACATGGATTTTAAATAACACCCTTAGTTTTTTAAATTGAATTGCATAAGGCGTATGGTCGCACAAAGTAATGCTATGTACTCACGACTCCCTGAGATACTTAATTGCCGGCCTTTAATATTACAAAAAAGAGTATGCTCTCTTCTTGATAAATACAAATTCTTAAGGTTCCTTCCCATCATTAAGGTACAGGGCGTACAAATGCGTTGCCGGCCTTTAAGGAAAACGGCTCTCTTTTGGAAACGGTTTGGAAAGACCGCCGGCGGCAGCTAGTTCCACAGAGTGGTTGTGCGGGGCAGGAAACGCCTTGAAAATCGCGCTGTTGTGGAACGCTGGACATCGAGGTGGTGTGGATGAAATTAAATTTCCATCTACTAGTCTTTCTCTAACTATCTCTATCGCTTTTTGGAGAACGACTAACTTTACATAACTTTAAATAGAAACCATCACGAACTCGCACGAGACCGGTATAAGGACAAAATATTCACACTTTATAGTTTTGCCCCATGAGTGAACTAACCTGAGACCAATTTAGCTGCGGAAGCAGGTATTGCCAGTATCCATATGAAGCGGTTCGTTGCCCTTTGAAATACAAAGCTTTTATCAGGGGTCCAATTCGCAAGGCAACGCCGTGGAATGTGATAATAATCTTTGATGTAAAATTTACGATTCATAAGAGCGCGCAAGCGTCTATTTGAATGAATATATTTTTGATTTTGATTTGAATGAAAGTTATTAGGACGACCCCCCTCCTCACTGATAGTGCAGATATGTGACCATGTGGAGGGTCGATGGATGTTTACTGTTGATGCTAAAGTAGGCTAAAATAAGACTTATACCTGTATCATTATACTGTAAACTAACCTTAAAAAAAGAGCAACTGTTGAGTTCCTTGCCGGTTTCTTCTCAACAGAAACTGCTTTCCGAACCGGTGGTAATTTACTTACGAACGTATTAATTTTTATGTAAAATTTAGTTTCATTAGAACGCGCAGGCGTCTATGTGAATAAAGATGTTTTGAATTTGGATTTGCATGTGGTTGAGGATCGTGCTTCGTGACAGTTTGTATTATGTACGGAAGATTCTATGTACAGCAGTAGGCTTAAACAAGTTGAAACGATAATAATGGTTACTGGACAAGAAACAAAAGTATGCCAATGATGGGACGATTTAAGCAACTAAACAATTTTTGAACATGAAAAAAACACACACGCAGACAAATTAATAAACCGGAGATCTAACATGGATTTCACAGGAGAATTAGACTCTCCAGAGGGCACATTAAGGCACGCACGTGTGTGATTTGTTGGGGTTCTTCCGTTTGTTTTTATAACAACCAGTCTGTTTATAAGTGAATTAATTGGATTAACTAAATATAACGATAAACGCTAAATTTTAATTTTAATTAAACTTGACTTAATTAAATAATGATTGAGAAAACATAATAATGATTGAGATTTCTCACGTTTATAGGTTCCCGTTTTTTAAGGAAAGAATGTTTCACTAGGAAAGTCATTCGTGTGCCGTAGATTTCGCTACCATGGCAATCACTGGCATAAACTACACTAACACAAGTCCATATATTTATTAACAAAAAACAAAACCGATTTCAAATATCTCGCTCTGAATTGATTTTATAATGGATTTTCAGGATTTCCCTAAGTATCCCCGGAGCCCAAGGCCCAATACCAATGAAATTAATGTGCGACCACATGGGAAGCAACAGCTTTCAATTAAAAAAAGAATCATCAAAATCGATTCGCTCCGTTGTAAGTACCGAGAAAGTCGGTTGAAAACTAGGAACAACTTTTTATTTTAAGTTTTGGAGCTAACACTTTAAAAGTAATAAATATTTTTTTTAATTTAATTAAAGTAAATTTCTTCTTTATCTCTACAGTTTTCTTTTTTTGTTATTTTGTTAAAAATGCTGTTATTTTCTGTTTTGATTATATGTTTATATTAGTGTAGTCAGTCAACTACCGTATTAATTCTTTGTTAGCATTTAGCATACTTAAATTATTATTTTTTTATTATTCTTTTTTTACCAGTTGTCAATATAATAACTTTTGAATGTCGTTTCACCTGTAATTGGGATACCATTTAGTTGAAGATACTATGTACTTATTTATGTTTTAAGCTTGTTTTGATGTGTATCTTGTTGGTGAAGTAAAAAAAAACTAAAATAAATAAGTGAACGTTCCAATCTCACACGTTTTAGGGTTCAATCTTAAGCGAAGTGACTAGCAATAAAAATAAAAATTTATAATAGTTGTTCCTCGGCAAACAACATAAAGATGATCATATTATTATAAACTTTTTTTTAACGTGAGAAAGTGGAAAAGGTGTGGGCGGTTCACCTGACGTTTGCAACACGAGTTGGACTACAAATGCGTTGTAATAAAAAATATAAATAATATAAGTAAAGTGGGCCACGCATACGTGTGAAACTCGCGGCGGCTTCAGCTATTGCAAAAATGGACATAGCAGGGGAAATACTAAATCTTCACGGACAATTGGCACAAAATGTACTCATTCGTTGCGTGTTGCGTTCGTGTCAAGTGAGGTAAGCGAGGCTCCTAACGGCTGTGTTACTCTCGGGTGTTGTGGCAACCCATGTTTGGCTGGTGAATCGCTTGGCCATTTCTCGGGCGCTACGCAAAATCTCGTCATTCGAACGTGTGATAGGTGATCATGTGTGCAAATGTTCATATATGCACGTGTGTACGCGCTCCGACAAAGTAGCGCCCCCTATTGCGCCGAGCCAACAACGTCAGGGCCGGTTGCCGCGGACGGACGAGCAAACAGACATCTCTGTAGACGACGCGCGGAACCGAGAGGTGACTTATGCCCGTGCAGAATTGATGCGGCAGTTTTATTTGATTCGCGCTATAACGTGTCATTCCGATATCTTGTGTGCGGAAATCTTTGTCAGATTAACTGCGATAGTCTTCGTTGTCGCACGAATGGGCAGGCCCGTCTGGGGGAGCACCTCACAGAAGATCGGCGTGAAGTGGAAATGTTATGCTTCTGCGTTTCGCCTGGTGTGCTAGGTAGCCGGGGCACACTTTATTAAAAGGTGCCAACGCATCTGGAACACTGCGGGTGTTGCAAATGTAAATGGGCGACGAGTATCACTTAACATGGGGTTAACGGCCAGCTTGTTTTCCACCTTCTTGCGTAAGGAAAAAGCAACAAGCTTAAAACGTTAAAACGTTACGTGAGTGATTCTGAACTTGTTTGACAGGGCGTCAGAGTTAAATTACTTGTGTCTAGATATTCTAATCACATGACATACTATTTTTCTTCTTTTTCATTTAGTACCACAGAGATTCAAACCCCTCAAATTTTCTTTGACGAAAGATGCCTTTCGATTCTTTTCGACAACATTACACTGTGTTGTAAGGACGTTTAACAAACATAAATTTCACGTGGACAAACACCTACATCGAAAAAAGATATCTGTCGCGATTGTCATACGCGAATATCTAACGAAATGTACTCCTATTGTGATCGTATTTGACAAAATAGAAACCGAAAGCGATTGGACAAAACGTCACCATCAAGCATCAGACTCTAAGATAATTTCGATAGAGTATTTTAAATTTTCCTAGCACGACGTAACCTATTTTTCCATATCAAAGAGTTAATAACCACGACTCCGCACGTCCACACATGCCGCGTCCATTGCGTTTCGACGCTCGTCGACAGCCGGCATACCTCGCCCTGTTTACCCCGGGCAAACACGGCGTAATGATACTCCAGTTAATTAAGAGGCCACCGCAAACAGAGAGCGGTGTGCGCTGAATAAATGTCTTTGTTAGCGGCGCGGATGAGCTTTCCCGTAGGATTCTCTACTCGAGTGAAGAGCACATCCACCTAACGGTGAGGGCATCGGTGACGCGATTCTGTTTATAACATGATGACGTCACATGTTAGATCGATTAGACCATGCTGCGGATTGTTTGGTAAAGTAGAAGGCTGAACGTTTTACAAAAGTGAACAATTACATTTCTTATAACAAAAAAACAAACACGACTTCAAAAAGCTATTCCCAATAGAAAGGGTTACTTATAATGTCTATTATAATGGGGCACTACCCCAACACTGAAGATCGTAACCAATCTAAGAACGTCGCGAACACAGCCTACAATCAGAAGATCACAATCCGCTCACGTTAAAAGCAAGTGGGATCATGGGGCCGTCGCGAACACAGTCCTAACAAAAAAGAATACTAGCAATAAAGCCCCATTGTGAACACCAACACAGAAGATCACGAGCTGTCTAGCCCGTCACGAGCTCCGGCGACTTCAGAAAATCAAGAGCAGTCTAGCCCGTCTACACTCAAATGATTACAAGCAGTCTGACTCAGTGGCGAACACTGCCACCAACACGGAACATCACGAGCGTTCCGAGCCCATCACGATCCCACCCAAAAGCAATCGGAACTTACACTGCCGCCAGCAGGGAACATCACGAGCGTCCCGAGCCCATAAAGCCCACCACAAGCCCATCCCAAAATCAATTGGAAGTTACACTGGCACCAGCACGGAACACCACGAGCGTTCCGAGCCCATAAAGCCCACCACAAGCCCATCCCAAAATCAATTGGAAGTTACACTGCCACCAGCACGGAACACCACGAGCGTTCCGAGCCCATAAAGCACACCACAAGCCCATCCCAAAATCAATTGGAAGTTACACTGCCACCAGCACGGAACACCACGAGCGTTCCGAGCCCATAAAGCCCACCACAAGCCCATCCCAAAATCAATTGGAAGTTACACTGGCACCAGCACGGAACACCACGAGCGTTCCGACCCCTCAAAGCCCATCAAAAGCCCACCTGCACGATGACGTGGTCCATCTCGGCGAGGGCGCGCAGCAGGTGGGCGGTGCGGGCGGCGCGCACGAAACTGCCGCAGTGGCCCAGGTCGGCGCCGCGGGCGAACAGCATGCAGAACTCGGCGCGGGCGCCGCACATGCCGGTGCCGAGGGCGCAGCGGAGCGACTGCCTCGCGGACGAGCGCTCAGAACCCTGACAGCGGAAGGGAGGGTTTTAAAGTGAAAAGGTCGTCAAGCGCTCAAATTTCAAAAGGTTGTCATCGTGTAATCTGCAACCCTCGGGTGTAGCAGATATCCATTGACGGCGGTATTCACTTGACATCGGGTGAACCGCCTGCTCTTTGCATCGCATGATATATGTAAGTGAATGTGACAAATGATATTTTTTTTTTTTATAACTGATGTTTTTGCTTTCAGTCCCGAGACTATTAAAGCTTCATCTGACGCAGAACCGGTGGGCTAGCCAGAACCCACGGGTTTGGGCCCTCCGCTGTGGGTAGGGCCGCGCATGTGCTCATGCGTGCGTTTAACTATGACATGTCATCTAAAGGCCATCGAAGTTGCGGTGCGGACCGAGACCCCGATGGCCGTCGACTGTGTTTTTAGCTAATCGGTGGCTGCGGGCGGTAAGAACCGCCCTGGAACGCGGGTGTACCTTGTGTACGCGTTGTGTTGGTCTCGCCGTGCTCGGAGGCGAGGGCGAACTATTGTTTTTTGGTACACTAGCTGTGGGTGTAGTGTTATCCGGCGGGACCCGCGGCAGTGGGTCCGGCGTATCTAAGTCCCCTTCCTCGACCGGGTCGATGAGGACGTTTCGCGGGCGACGCTTGTTGACGTTCGCGTTTGTGTCGGGTTGGTAATTTGCTGCGCTTACCACCAGAGGGTTGGGATGATGTTCGGCTCTATCGAAGAACCGTTTTGTCAGATCTTTGAAATATTCGCGAATCGTCGGGAGTCTGCAATCGCTGTACAGATCGACGTTGCGTTGATACCACTGCGCACCGGTTGCACGGCGGATGAACTTATTTTGTACTATTTGCAGCTTGTACAAGCGAGTAGGGTGCGTGTGGGCGAAGATCATGCATGCATAGGACATAATAGGTCGTACGCAGATCTTATATAATAATAATTTGTGCCTTAAGGCATTTTACTTTTAGCGTTAGTTAAATTGTGTAGCCGGCCGGAGACGAACGCGGCTCTATTACGAACGTTATTAATGTGCGTAGTAAATGACATACGCGAGTCGAAAGTGACTCCTAAGTATTTGACCTTTTTCTCCCAGGGGAGCGGTTGGCCATAAAGGGATATTTGCCCCAACTTTCTGCATTGGCGAGGGCCATTATAAAGATGTGACGGGTAAGTACTTCGTGTGAAGTGAATCGCCACACTTTTTTCGGGATTTATTTCTATTCTCCATTTGCGGAACCAATCGCCGAGGCGGTCGGCGGCGCTTTGGAGTCGAGTGGTTAGTATTCTAAGGTTGCGGTCTGAATAAAAGACCGCGGTGTCATCCGCGAAAAGCGCGAGATTGACGTGGGGGTCTTTGGGTATGTCGCTCGTGTAGAGCGTAAAGAGCAAAGGTGAGAGGCAGGGGCCTTGTGGTACGCCGGCCGTGAGGCGGCGGCTTGTGGAGAGGGTGCCCTCGACTCGATATCGAAAGGAGCGATTCAACAAAAAGGCCCGGATGGTGTGTACGAGCCTATCTGGCACTTTGAGTGTGTACAGCTTGTAAAGCAAGCCGTTGTGCCAGACCTTGTCGAATGCTTTAGCGACATCGAAGAAAAGAGCCCCTGTACTAATATGTTTAGGGTGATTTAGGCCTTTTAGGATATGTTCCGTTAGGCGGAATAGTTGATCGGGACAGGAATGTCTAGCTCGAAAGCCGAATTGTTCCGTCGGCAGAAGGCCGTTGGAAAACACGTGCTCTTTGAGCCTGTTTAATAAGAGCCGCTCGTAGAGCTTCCCCAGGCAACTGAGGAGGCTGATGGGACGATAGCTAGAGGGCTGGTTGGCTGGTTTATTCGGCTTGCGAATGCCGATAACCGTGGCTTGTTTCCAGTCGTCCGGAAAGGAGCAACTGGAGAGTAGAGTGTTTAAAATGGTCGCCAGTAAACAGATAAGCGGCCCAGGGAGAGCTTTGAGAATTTTGTTACTGATCTTATCTGGGCTCGGGGCGGATTTCGGTTTAAATTTTTAATAATATCTTGGACCTCTTCGGGGGTCACTGAACTTAAAGTATCGCCTTCCGGGGGAAGCGCAGCCCTAGTCTCGATTACACGGTCCACCTCCTAACGGAGGACTGTATCGGTGTGTTCGCGCGATGGCGTACATTGCTGCTCTAGGTTGTCCCCGCAAGGCATTCGGCTTTTTCGGAGTCATCTAGGGCTATTGAAGCGCTGTTAGGTCTAATTAATGGCGGTAGAGATTCGCGGGGGTTTGCTTTCAGACTGCGGGCCCACCGCCAGTAGGCGGTGTGCGATTGCTCGATGTCCTCTAGGAGTGTCCCACGTTGTATGTCGGTGTTCCGATACACGATCTTTGACTTCTAGCTAAAGGCGTCGAAGTAGGGTTCGGTTCGATTCCGATCGGTATCGGTCGAAGGCGCGTTTGGCTGCATTTTTCTATCTAATTAGCAGTCTTAGGTCGGGCGAAAAAATAAACCGTCGGTCGCCCGACAGTTTCCACCGCCCGTTCCGAGTCTGTGACTGCGGAAGTAATGGTTTCTCGGAGACTTGCTATCGCTCGATTTGCGTCATCGAACGTAGATATCGTCTCGGGTAGTTCGACTAAGTCCTGGGGGTCCAAGGCCTTGAGTTTGACCTCAAGACGATGCCAGTCCACTACGGATTTGGTCGGAGGGACCGCGCCGGCGTTCTGGCCCAGTTTACACAGGACGGGCCTGTGATCTGAATCTAGTTCGTGGATTGTCTCTATCGACTCGATGTCGAGCGAGACCTCCTTGAATAACATGATATCTAGGATACTCGGTGTCGCATGTTGGTAGTTGTCCACCGTAGGATACCTAGTGGGAGTCGCAGGAGCGATTATGCTAAAGTTTAAATTATCGGATAAGCTAAAGAGATGCTTTCCGTTGTTATTTGGGATGCTGTGGATGTCCCATGAGCCGTGTTTGCAGTTTAGATCTCCTGCAATTATCACGGAAGGGCCTAAGTTGAGTAGCGTATCTAGGTCGCTTTGTAATAAGGTTTTGTTCCCCGAGAGGTAGGCTGAGACTAGTACAAGCGGCCTGTGGCCGGTGAGCGCTAACCTACACGCGGATGCCTCTATTTGACTTAGCTCTGGAATGTCGAGCGGGCAACAGTGCAAGGACCGTTTATAATAAATTAGTGTGCCTCCCAGACGGTTTGCTAACCGGTCGTGGCGGACAATATTGTAATTTGCGATTCTGGGATCGCGTACACTAGGTTTCAAGAATGTCTCTTGCACTAGAAAAATATCTACGTTATAATCGCGAAGGAATTCCGCGATTTCGTCCCTTTGACCCTTTATGCCGTTTGCGTTGAAATACGAAACAACCAGAGCCCGAGGTTTTGTTCTACCTGCGGTTGGTTGTACTTCCCATTAAGGTGTTTTTATGGGTCTAATTAACGACGCGGCGGAGCGCGGTTTAATTGCGCGGACTATTGTCTTTTACGGTTGGCTCGTAAAAGCCCAAAGGGCTTCCACAAGCGTTTTATGTTGGCTAATTGCCCTAAGACGCTCGTGGCCAGATGTGGCGGCCGTATTGTCCGCTATTTTAGCGGACAATACGGCGAGTTCCTGCCTATTGATCCTATCTAATTAGCTGCAAATATTAGCGATTTGCGCGAATGGGTCGTCCTTGTTTTCCGCGAAAACTGACGGAGTTGGCTGCACCTGCGGCCGCGGCGCCGTTTGAGAGGCGGGCAGCTGTTGTGCGATCGGTCGTGAGGCGACGGGATTACCGGCGCGGTTACCTGCGCGGCCACCTGGGGTTTCGTCCAGGCGTTTGTGACGGGTACGGGCGCGGGAATGAATCTAACGGGCGCGGGTTTGGGCAACGTGGATTTCGCGGGAGATTTCCTCGCGGGAGTTTTCGGGGCCTTAGCGCAGCCTCTGTAGCTAGCCGGGTGGCCGGTGGCGTTACAGTTTACGCAGTCCGGTGGATCTGCGCAATCTTTCGGCCGCGTGCACTCGGTAGTGCCGTGGTCACCGGTGCATTTGACGCACCTTGGGTGAGCGAAGCAGTTATTGGCCGTGTGGCCAAAATGCTGACAGTTGTGGCACTGTGCCACAACACCTGTTTTACGCGGGGGCTCGATGACTAAGTCACTGAGCCCACAGACCCTCTTCAGGTTGAAGATGGCCTTACCTTCCGGGGTAGGGTCAAGTTCAACCATCACCATGTCCATAGGGACACGGGTTCTGGGGTGTCTGAGGCGTCGGACGGCATGCACAGGGTATCCCTGAGTGCGGATGTCGGTTTTCGCCTTGTCGACATCCGACTCTTTGGGGACGCCCTTGATAACTACCCGAAGCTTGCGTTCTTCGGGCAACGAGTAGGTGTGAAAACCTATCTTATTTTCGCGCAAGTATTTCGTTACGCGGCGGAAATCGTCCGTTGTGTCAAGATACCCATTTGTGTATTTTTCGACGGGGGGGTCGCGGATATTGTGGCGTTCAAACCACGAACAAATTTGGTGCCACTTAGCCTTCTCCTGAATGATGATGGGTGGAGGAGGCTTTATTTTTCGCTCGGAAGCGAATTCGGGCATCGGATTTGCCGCCGGGGCCGCCTTTTTAGCGGGCGTCGCGGTTGGACGGATCGTTGAGGCGGCCTCGCATTCGGGGTCTCTGTCGGTAGCGGGGCGTTTCTTGCCCTTTTTACGCGATTTAACGACGGTGAAGCCGTCGGCGTTCGCGTTTTCAGCGGGGGTCGTTTCGACCTCCATGTCCGATCCACCGTCCGATTGTGAGTCGGGTACGACGGAGCGAAAAGAGGTCGGGTTTGGTTGCACGGAAGGTGCTACGGGCGGGTTCGCGTTAGCGGATGCCGACGCGACGGGGGCTTCTAAGGTCGCGGAGGGACGGACGGGGTAACGGACGCAGACGGCGCGGGCAATGGCGGCGGCGGCAGTTCAGCTACTTGCCTATGCTCGGCTGCATAGGCAAGATAACGTTCCCACATAGCGGGGCATTCTCTGCGTACGAACTCCTCGAAAAGGGAGCCCATCGCGACGTAAGGGCCTTTGGGGCTTGTAGCCCCACCGGCGTGTGTGAGCTAAATAAGCCTCCCCACCTTGCGGCAGGGAGGAGTGTGCCTAAAAATAACAGCTAATTTGCCTGCGCTTTAGGTGCGCTAGGGTGGGTACCTAGCTGTCGCCTATTGCAACAAGCACACAGTAAATAATAATAAATGAAACAATGCCGCCTCTGAGGCGAGAAGTGTGTGTAGGATTCTACTTACAAAACAGGAACCTGCCTACGAGCACAACACTACACTAACACTAATCTACTGCACTATTTGCACAAGATTTAAATTGCAACCGAGGTTGCGAGTGGCGTCTAATTCGGGTGGCATGTGCCCTCCGTCTTAGAGAGACGTCCGTTCCGTACGAGAGCACGAAGCGGAATGGACAAATGATATGGAACGTGTGATACGGAAAGGGATAGCTGTCTATAGAATTGCTATCTAACTACACCAATTGGTGTATACTCAATCTCGCCTCAGTTTCGGCCCTAGTGTCATACCTAACTCGTATTAATAATATCATAGCTGATAGCGGAGGGGGCGTTTTGTTTTTTTTTTATGTGCAAAAGTTATCAAGCGAGCGGGCGGTTCACCTGATGTTAAATGATTTCCACCGACCATGGACATCTAAAACATCCGAGGGCTTGCAGCTGACGTGGTAGGGCCACGCAACAGTGTCAAAATGTTTGATTATTAAGAGCTTGGGAAGAGGAGGAAGGTATGAATGGCCAAGGAAGGTTACATACCGCATCTGCTTCGGAGGGGTGGCAGAGGTCTGCGCAGACCGTGAGCAAGGTCTGGATGCTCTCGCGCGCCTCACCAGCCCTCTCGGCGTGGGCGATGCACCCGCTGAGGCACAGGTAACTGAAAAAGCAACCGCTGGTTAAACTTCCACTCGCAAATTAATATAATGACAATAAGTCATTACACAAGTAGGGCTGTTAGCTAGGAAAAAGATTAAGACCTTGGTAACTTTTGGGTAATGGTGTAATGCACACTTTTCCCAAGTAAAGGTCGCTGGGACGCGTTGGGTGCAAGCCGCTAACGATCGTTCGAAGTGGAAGTCAATGGGGGAGGTATGTTCAGAAGGGAACATCCTAGGGCTGATATGATGATGATGACACTTTTCCTTTCCTTTGAAGACCCGATTGGCATAATATTGGGCATGTCTCTTACGCCATCGATCTTACGCGGGATCGATCCCCACTACTTAAAAAAATATTGTGTGATGAACATCTGAGCGTTGATATATACACAATATTTAGTTATATTCAGAAAAATATTTTTAAGTATTTTAATCAGTTATCTAATACCCACAACACAAGTTTTGTCCTGAACGATTTGCGATGGTACTTCCAAGGTTCTACAATGTTAATGTCCTGATTTTATACACATGTGTAGTACGGGTCCACGTTTTCAAACATTTTGTAAAAGCTACCCTAGTGGAGAGGGCCTATTAGAAAGTCGAAGAAAACATTTAGGATAAGGATGTGTCGAAACGACACTTGCTCTGCACTTGCAAGTCCCTTGGCTGCTGTTGATATTATACATAACTACATTATAGATATTTTAAAAAGATAATACATTTCTTTTGAAAGATAAGACCGCAGAGGTTTTTGTTGGTTCCTCTTTTTTTTATGTGATAAATTTCCAAACGAGCAGACGGTTCACCTGATGGTAAGTGAATACCGCCACCCATGGACATCTGCTACACCCGAGGGTTACAGATGCGTTGACGACCTTTTGAAAATTAGGCTCCGGCTACCTCACTCACCAGACGAAACGCGAAAGTATTTGTGATACTACTTTACGCTGGTCTTCTGTGAGGTCGTGGTACTTACCCGGACGGGCCTGCCCATTCGTGCAACAGCCGAGGATGCTGCGTGGCCCTACCACCTCTCTGGACAGGTATAATTTAGCGAGCCGGTGGCAATCTTTTGACGTTCAATAAGAGCATAAAACGACTCTATATTGAATAGAGAAATTCCGCCTTTGACTTTGAATGCGTTGACGCTCAACAAAGTATCAACTGTTGCCAGTAATCGGTTTAAGACTAGACTCTGCCCCGCGGACCGGTCCGGATGAAAAGCAAACAACGGCATACCGCTGCGGTGTTCTAAGTCGGCCCGGGAGGGGTGGACACGCGGACACTTTGAAACGATAATATTTTCATTGCCGAGCGGTCGTCGAATCCGCGAAGGATTGAAAACAATAACACCGATGGTCGCAAAATTCTCAAAAAAACTCCGTCGTTGAAAAAACTCCACTCTGCATAATAGGCATGTGGATTTTAACGATGTAACATATAAATATTTTCTTTTTATGAGAGGTACATAAGCGAGCAGGCGATTTTTTTTTTTTTTTTTAGAACTTCCACTTGAGTGAATACCGCCGCCCATAGACATCTGCTACACCCGGGGGTTTTTTTTAATTTAAGACAGGGTTACAGATGTGTTGACAACCTTTTGAAAATTGGGATCCGGCCACCTCACTCACCAGACGAAACGCGAAAGTATTATACTTCCACTTTACGCCGGTCTTCTATGAGGTCGTGGTACTTTCCCGGAAGTACCTGCCCATTCGTGCAACAGCCGAGGCTGCTGCGAGGCCCTACCACCGAAATCACTACACTACCACAAAATCGGTTCACCTGATGTTAAACATTCAACGCCACCCTAGATGTCAATCTACGATTACGTGGTGGCAAATGCGTTACCAACTTGACAAGAATTGGGCCCAGTCTACCTCACCAATAAGACGAAACATGACAGTATAACAAATACCTCTACTTAGCCGGACTTCTATACTTCTTCCTACCACGTCGCCTATCCCATTGGCGGGTGCAGAGTTAATTATAATACGTACTTCTTAAAATCTAATAAGTCGGGAGTATTACTTTTTAATTTAAAGAAAACAAAGACAACCAAACAAGATGAAGGCCGACAGGGAGATTTGGAGATGGTACTCAAATCGCGCTGACACCGAATCTTCCGTGGAGCCGACCCTCCGCGGATCCAATTATAACTTGTACAAATATTTGTAACGGCGCCGCGGGAGCGGGCAGAGTAATGCCACGATAGATGCTTTACAATATCAGCGATAACGATATCGTATTCCAACGATCATGTTCTAAAATCTTGCTGCCACACGACCGCTCCTGCACGAATAGGCAGGTCCGTCCGGGTAAGTACCACGACCTCACTGAAGTGGCAGTGTTATACTTCTGCGTTTCGTCTAGTGAGTGAAGTAGCCGGGGCTCACTTTTTTAAAGGTTGTCAACGCATCTTCAAGCCCTTACGTATTGAAATTGCCCGAAGACTATCATCACTTAACATCAGGTGAACCACCTGCTCGCTTGACAACTTTTCACATAAAAAAAATCTTATAAACTACCTGTACAGACGGTATTAAGGCATAGTCCAAGACGTTCCTTTGTCTATTGGTGGGGCGATACTTTACTAACTATTACATTACACTGTGCGAAGTAAGATTTAAAAAAAAAGAAACAGCTCGCAAAAAGATTCCGCCACGATTTCAATCCGCGCACAAAACCATCAAGTTTGTGCAAACACAATTAACGTCGAAGGTCAGGGAAAAAGTTTTTGACGGATAACTTAATTCAAAAGAGAAATATAGAGGAACGATTGTGTGTTGAGGATGGGGATTATAATATTGCTTATTATTTAGATGACAACACATTCTAGAAATCAATCGCTCCTTTAATATAATTAACTTTAATATTTTGTATACATAGTTCTCAAGTAATGGTAAAAAAAATAAAGAGGCTTTAGCTTTTCTTTTCCGAACAAGTAGTAGTATTTTGACAATCAGTAATGGAGTATAATGCTTCTATATGGAATAAACATATTTGAATTATTAAATACTAGCTTTTCTAATTTTGAAGTCCTTTAATAAATACATTTTTCTTTTAAATATATTTTTTCACTAAAAAGAAGAAGATTTCAGTTATTAATTGCCTATGGCTTCGGCGTCGGGTTCGATTCCCACACGAGACAAATATTTTGTGACCCAGAGAATGATTGTTCCAGATCGGGTTGTTTGTTGCCATGGAGGTTTGACGTCAGGCAGGCGGCCGGTTGGTAAAGACCTAGTTAAGCCTAGCCAATAACGCCTTTAACTTGATTCTAATGCCGTGCCGACCCCATCTAGGGGAAAGGGGCGATGTATTAAAATATAAACATTGCTAGTTTGTCCAACTTTATACATATAAATATGTCGACAGTTTGGCGTAATTTTTTGCGCGTTGACTTTACTACGTGGAAAAAAAATTACTTCATCTTCTTTACGTGTCGATAACAAATCGTATCTTTCCGGCCCAGAACTTAGACACATCTACAGCACAATTAGTGGAATCCATCAAAAAAAATATGCTAGTATACTTTGTGTCGGTACTCTACCGTGGTAAGTCCTTCTAAAGATATTGTAAATATCCACACACATCAGTGATAACTACCTCACATGGACTTTTGGTGTACCAATCAGCCGTTTAGCTTAGTGATTAAAGCGTTTGGGCGCAGATCTCGAAGACGTGGGTTCGATTCGCACGGCGGCGAAAAACTTTACGTACTTTTTTCTGCAACATTTCAATCCTTACGAGATGGAACGGATGACAAGTCGCCACGATTGTAAGGCGACGGCCGGGAGGCGAGGAATTCCGGCGCGGATCGGAATTCGACTCCCAGGGTCGAGCGATTAAACAGGAATCCGGTGCGGGGACGAGTAATATTTAAGATTGGCTTTATCGCCAACCTGTCGGCCTCTCGGGGGTCCCGCCTTATCGGGCGCTTTAAGCGTCCGCGCTATCTCTTCAAAGCACAAAGGCCTCTATTCTCAAGACGGCAAGGGCGGAAATCGCCCGAAGCGCTAACAGCTCGACATACTCTGTGGGCCGGTTATGTCTGAGTGACCAATCGGACGCAACGCACCCCATAACCTTAGAGGCGCCGGCGTTGTTTTTTTCTCTCTCTCTCTCTCGTCGTTTTCCCGTTCTCGTCACGCGTCCGAAGACAATTCGATGTCTCGTACGTGAAGAAATACGACGGTCGCTATCGGCGGCTATAAATTTTCAGCGATAAAATCCAAGGTCACTGTCGCTATAAACTTTCGCAAATTCTACCCGGTCACCGTTCAACGTATTGATTTAAGAGCGACAGAACGTGTGACATGTCTTTTTTAAATCATCTGCGGTAGGCGCGTTATCATATATACTTCCACGTCTGGTGATGTCGAAAGTAACAGCCTATAATTGTCCCACTGTCGGGCAAGGACCACCTCTGCACGGAAAGTATTACACCCTAGTCCACCACGCGACCCCACTGCGGATTGGGGGATTTCACATATCTTGGAAATATTCTTTTTATGTTGTTATTATTTCGAAAATATGCAGGTTAACTGGTTAACTCAAAATTGGAATTAACAATTGGATGACTCCGTGGCGCATTTGCCTAGGTATTGGCTTCAGCGTCGGGGGTCGTGGGTTCGATTCCCACACGGGACAACTATTTGTGTCTGGGTGTTTGTCCGCGTAAAATTTATTTTTGTAAAACGTCCTTACAACACAGGATAACGTTATCCTAAAGTAAGGGCAATGTTTTAAAAAAAAAACTCTGGTAGCTGGAACATATGGAACTAAAAGCGAGCACCCAGACCATGAGCTAACGGCTATTTGCTATCTAACTAAGAATTATAAACTAATTACAAAGCTATCATTCTCCTTAACCGTAAAAAAAACGAAAGTGAAATTATTATGTCATGCAAGTGACAACCGTGGTTATCTACAACACCTGGTGGGTTGCAAATACGTTGCCAACGCACTTAAAAGTGGGCCTAGGTTACCTCACTCA